TGTGTGCAGGACTCTAGTTCTCTTTCAAAGGCCAAACCCGATTCAGATATGTGTCACTATGGTCATCACCACCACTGGGTCCAGGGACCGCCTCTCATTCAGGATTATCAGGCTGGACAGCTCTTACACTGCCTCCCCATCATCAAGGTTCCAGCACTCTCCTCATTTTCCACCTCGTCCTTTTATCGTTATTTACCAAGTGTGATAGGGTGAACCAGGAAGTAGGAGGTATGGGGGCGGAGCTTAGTTTTTAAAAGTCAGAGGGAGGCAAATGGGCCTTTCACTCAGTTACTCCACATGGGTGCAGAGGGCAACTGGCAGCTATTAAACCTGAGCTTTTAAGCCAAATCTGGGTTTGGTGCACTCCAAGAAGGTAAATGGACACAAGATGTTTGTCACAAAAGCTGTGCAGCCAATAATGACCACATCCTCTTAGGTCCAAGCAATAGTACCGGTCATCAGTCCTGGGAAAGTGTGTGTCCCACCTTACATGATGAATGGTCCTATCACCTGCAGGCCTCTAGAACCAGGAGAGTTCTTTTGTTGGATGTTAATAAAGGTACTTTTAAATAGTTAAGATAGTCATTTTAATAATAAAATGATTGTCATACTGACTGTAAAATGTTTGTATCTTTTAGTGATGATTTGGATGCTGCTGAGCTGTTTTTTCCCTTGGTTAAAGTTTGGGCTGTACATTAGTTGTTTGGGCCTGTATAGACTTTTTGGACTGTGTCAAATTGGATTGACTTGGGGGCACCTTTGCATGTTTTGTTTTTTATTTGGGCTTTGTTTGGCCATGCCATATTGATTTTATTTGTGTTTCCCAAACTGCATATTTATTGTTGTGATTTGCACAACCCCAAATTAGCCGATTGTAAACTTGCCCTGTTTTAAATACAGCCCATCAATGAACTGTTTTGCCACATACTGTATTTTTACATAAGATTTTAGAACAACCAGTTATGATGCTTTTATATTTCTGCAAATAAACATACAAATATTTTACTATTAGTTTAATCTCTTTACACTTGGTCACAAGACGAAAAGACACAAGATGGACTTGACCTAAAAGTTAAATTTGCTGCAATTAAAAAAAGAAAAAGCTAAATGACTTCTTTCCCACTAGTGTGTATTTTTTCCACAGGCCCTGCTCTCTCTTCAACAGGATCCCATTTACTTCAGTGATGGGGGGGTTAGTTAAATTCAGCATGGCTTTCTGCCACGTTGGGCTTAAAATATCAAATTAATTTTCATACAGCTCTTTAATTTATTCAGAAATGTTTAGTTATAGTGCTGACATTTTCCTTCCTTAGCGTGACATAACCTGTAGCCACCATGCTAGTACAACCGTGACCTAGCTGTAGTTAGCACGGCTTTAATTTAATCCAGTAAAGGTGTTGGTGTGGTATACGAAACGACTTTAGTTAGCAACTTTTAGAACATTTTAAAATTGACGCCATTTCACCGTGAGATATTTAGGTGCATAGACATATATACGTAGACATCTTGGATGTGGCAGAACTGCCCGTAAAGTAATAAAAGAAAACAAACTCCATAAAGCGCCTTTCTACAATGTACTTTAAGTTAATGCATCTTATTCACCCATTCACACACACACTAATATATCTGGGAAACAAATAGGCACCAAAAACACGTCTGTAACTTGATTATAAATGTGTACTCCTGATGTTTAGGATATAAGGAAGCACCAAACCAGCGTCTGTACTTTATTGCTGAGTGTTTTCAGCTACTAAAGCCTTTAACACTGTTACTGAAATCTTAATATTGAAATTTAACATGTAACCTGTGTCCATAATAACCACATCCTGAAAGATATTTTCTGGATAAAGAGAACAAACATTTACATTTAACTGGTTTTGATTAATCGTTTTTAATTTCACATTTATAATATATATATATATATATATGGATGAAGACATTAGCCAGACTGGAAAATCGGGCTACAGAAACGTATAGTAGTACAGTTTGGGGTAGATTGCTCAATCGGAGGTTGGGTTCAGCTCGTTGCTGCCACACTTCGCGCTTCAGTCTGTATTTCAACAGGAAACATGCAGTTTCAGGGATTTTGACCATTAAAATGTTCACAATTAGTCATACAGCTTCAGACACCCAACTACCTCGGCATACATCACAGGGCAGCCTTTGAGAAGCTGGCGGACATAAAACCCTGAGATTTCCACATGTTCTCCACTTTGCCACATCCAAGATGGCGGCGACGTGAATTACGAGTCAGCCCTAAATCCAGGGTCCATGTACATGTGTCTGTGTTTAGGCGAAAAATATAATCGTGTCA